GTATACTGAATTTCCCTTTCATATAATGAAAGTGGCAATGTTGCTGAAAGGGGTGCCAATTAAATCTGAGGTATGTGATAAAGAGGTAGTTTGAGATATCTGTGAGCCAATTGTAGAGCCATTTTTCTCCATCTTTTTGTAAAATATCTGTTTCATACTGGAAGGTCAGTCCTTACTATCTTCTCCTGAAAAACACTTGGATAGACTCCTTAAATATATCCATGGTGTGCCCTAGGGTCAATATACAGTCCTCTATCTCATGCCTTTGATATCATCATCTATTTAATAAGAACTGGCATTAATAGCAAAATCCCTGAGGCAGTGTGAGATCCTTGATAACTTTCTATGTATTGTATTTCTAAAAGAAATAATATATTTTAGTGGGATTTCAGGAAACCCTTTTGGCTTAGTTAACTGGATAAGAGTTACTACCTACAATAGAAAATGTATCTCTTATACTTAGTACTTTATCTTCAGCAAAGCACAGTGCCTGACTACACACACACACACACACACACACACACACACACACACACACAGACACATGTAGTGGACATGCAACAAATATTTGTAGAACGAATAAAATATTCAGGAAAGATAACCTGACTGAAGTTTTACTTTGTGTTTCTTTTCAAGGTATACCCCATGTGTAAAATTATATATTGCTTCAGGATCAAGCACAATATCAGAGAGACTTCACTAGAAATACAATTATCGACTTTTAGAGTGATCAGGGTCTTTCAAGATCATCTCAGCCCAATTCCACTTATTTAAAGTGAGGAGGAGAAGAATCTATAAAAATAAATATAATTTAAAAGCTTTTGGAACTCCCAGAATGCTTTAAGGCTTCCAAGAGGTATGACTGTGATCTGAGTCACCTGTGATTACAAATTCTGTTTCTCAGATTACAGAATAACTTGCTCTTTCATTTTTCTTGTTTTATACAATGACTAGAAAGAGCTAAATGACATTAGGGACAAAACCCTCCTGCTTTCTTAATTAATGACCCTTGTTATAAATTGATTTCCCCTTTATTATCCTGCTTTGCTTAGACCAGATGATAGAAAACCCATGACAATTAGATTCTGTAAAAAAAAAAAAAGTTAAATGTGCACTTCCCAAACAGAAACCCTGCTTATAACCAACCAAACTGCTATAACTATGTGCCAGCCTGTATGAATAATGCTACAATCCTGTTAAACAATCCTTTGTCTCTGCCTATATAAATGAAACCTTAACTTCCCTACACTGGAATGCTGACTCCATTCCTTTAGAGTTAGTGCTTCTGGGTTGGTCATCCTCAGACTTTTTGCTTGAATAAACTCTCTTTAAATTAGATTCTGACCCTTTCTACTAAGGTGACAAATCACAGGTGAGAAGGGATCCCATTTACTTTTTAAAAATAAACAATTGAAGATTTCTTATCCATCTTTCAGATAGTGAAAACACACTTTTTTTTTTGGAACCATCACAATTTTGGGGCTGTAAATCAACTGACCAAAAAATGAGATAGAAGACAGTACGAGCTACCCCACTGCCCACTGCAATACCTCTGTTCCAAAGGACCAGAGTTGGGTGCTCATGAAAGGAAGGTTTCACTAATAATAGGAACACACAAATCTAGGTGCAGGAGCCTTGGATTCTTCTATGGTGAACTAAAGTGAGTGAGCAACCACCAGCTTTAAGTGCTATTTTGCCCAAATAATTCTTGAGGCCAGAAAAAGAGTTAAGATCAGGTTTGTTGTTGCTTTTCTTCTACTAGGTTAAACACGTGAATCAAAGTCTCAACATTTAATTGGTAACATATTAAGTAGAGTACTTAGGGACTCTGCAAGTAATCAAGTTCAGAATGTAACATTAATGAATGTGTGTGAAAATAAAATAGTATATAATAGGTTCTCACCATAAACCCCTTATTTTGGTATGAAATAGTTTGCTTGATTGCAGCTATATTAAGCTATTATAAGCTGTTCTACAAAATAATTGATGTATTTTTACAGGAAGAAAATTAGATGAGAGGAATAAAGCTAGTGTCTAGAATAGAATTTATAATATCTTCCAGTCAAATTAATAAAATTACTTTAAGGAAAAATACTCTCTCTATCAATAATCACCAGTTCAGCATCACTTAAAAATACTTTTGGTTTTAAGTTTCTTTTTAAAGTTATTTTTCTGCAGATGAGCAGACCAAATCATCCACTGGCTTTAGACAACCAAAAACACAATCACTATAAACAAAATAACAATAAATCTAACTTTGTTAGATTTGTAGTTTTGTTATGTTTCTATTGCCTTAAATGACTCAGTGGGTGGTATTTACATAAATTCTTTCATTATTTTTATGGTGTAATTTAGGGTGGAAAAACTGAAGCATCTTAAAAACTACATTTTCAAATATTTGATCTGAAGCTCACGTTTTGAAAGATTTTCATGAGTATATGGCTACCTACTATTTTAAATAGCAACACATTTATAAGAACTAATTAACTCGTGGAATAAAAATAATTTGAAAAACATACACAGAAGATGAAATGCTTCTCTAGCTACAGTTGTCCGTTAGCATATTTTGAGAGAATATTGTGTGAGCTATTTCCATCATGTTTTTGCAAATTGATACAAATTAAAATGTCAACGAAGTAATTATTGACAGCATGCAACTGTAATATGAAGTGTATCCATCCTTCTAGATATTACTAATGCATCTCATTACCTTCATTGTATCAATCTCACTATCTACTGGAAGAAACTCACTTTTTCAAAGGCATTTTTCTAATCAAGATTATTTGGCATTTTACTTTTTTCCTTTTAAAAAACACTTCAGTTTATTCTCTGAAATTGTTTTCTATTGTTATTTTAATTCAAGAGAGAAGTTTTGAAATACAGGTGTATTGAGGTCCATGTACAAATTCCTGATAAAGTTTGGATTAGCTCTTGTGTTTGGTTGAGTCAAGTAAAACCAAGAAAACACTAAAAGTGATTTTGCCTAGAGCTACACGAATTAAAATATGAATTGTATCAATTAAAAAATTACATTTAGGATTTTAAAAAGCAGCTTTTCTTGGGGGGGATTTTATAGGACAATTAAAAGCTCATTATTTTCTCACAATACAGTAGAATTTGTTACAATTTATGAGATTTATACCCAAGATGCATTTTAAAGGGACAGAGGTCTATTACTATTCTCATTATTGTTTTGCAGCCATGATAGGAAAGGAACCTTTTAAAATTCAGAAGAATTGGAAAGGTAGACACTTAAGTTTTCTAATTTCTTTAAAGTGACAAAAAAAAAAAAAAGAAAGATGTTCTGCTGTTCTTTTAGCAAAAGCTCATTCAAGGCTTATTCGGAGTTTATCCAAAACACCTGGGTGTGCTGATTTTCTTCTTAGAAACCAGCTAAGCCTCTGAAATGGGTCAGTGTGCTTTAGGCACTCAATTGCCTCCTCTAGACATGGTCTTTTAAGCACAGGTGCTAAGTGGAGGGTCTGTCTGAGCCTTACTCACTCTCTGACAGGAACTTGGCAATCCAGGCAGTTCTTAGAATTGGCTGCTCTGAGGGATTCATCATGAGTTGTTTACAAAGCGTCAGTTGTTCAGGTCAAACAACCCAAACTCTCAATACAGGGGCAGGGGTGGAAGGGACTGGAATGGTAGTTAAAGGTGAAGTGACTGCACTGCTTCAGAAAGTAAGACAAAAAGTTTTTTCTTGGATTCCATGAATGCCCATTAATAATTTCATATATCTTGAGTAGCTACAATCTTAACGATTTTTTTGGACTCCCTCAGGAATAAACATAGTGATGTTTAGGCTTATAATTAGCATTTCCTAAAATAACATATGCATATTTCTTCAGTTAAGTGTTTTTGCTTTTCCTTCTACAGAGGCATAATAGGAACTAACTACCCTGTCATTTCTTCTTATAGTATAGTCTGGCTTCACTGGACTTTAGAAATACATTTTTTTTACTTTTAACTTTTACCAATGCTAATATAGTTGAAGAAAGAAATTTAAGACATCTAGTTTAGTGCTTTTAGATATTAAGGAGGAATCTCTGAAATCTATTTTGATTTTGATTTTTATAATTGAGTACTAAAGTTATTCTTATAAACCAACCTCCAAATTAGTAAGTTTACTACTACAAATCACATCATGTAATTATGCAAACTATATGCAACAAACTAACCAACAAAAAAAGTCGTGTTACTCTATTGTCTAGCCAACCTAACATACTGTATTATAGATAAGTATAAGCAAGCATTTCTAAAACCACTAGATGGCATTCATTCACTGTAATTTTGGCCAAACGGCCTTCGAAAGCTTTATCGTGATATGCAGGGTCAGGGGGAAGGCAAATGTTATTCATTATTTGATGATATTTTCCTATCATTTAGCACAATGACAAAGCTCAGTTTTATCTTTTTCTGGGTGCTTTAAATCAAATCAACAAATATTTGTCAAAAGCTTTATTCAAGGGTTCTTCCTTTTTGAGGAGAGTTGAAAACCATCTTCACTATGGTGGTAATGTATTTACTTACAATATCTAGCAGAAAATACGTGCTATGTACGATATATCGCTTAATTTTATTTCATTGCTTTACTAATTTATGTAGGTATTTCTTATGTAGCTACTTCTCTAAAGGTTACAAAAAGGCATACTTGCTTAAAAATGTTTCTAATATTTTTGCTGGCATGAATCTTCAAAATTAATGTTTTTGAGCTGTAGGCGAAGAGCTCTTGAAGATTCGTAAAGGAGTCTTCTACTGTCTTAAGAATGTGTGAGAAATAGTCTCCTAAGTACACTGAGACCTAACAACCAAAATGGTCTTTGATATTAATAAAAGATTGCAATTTGGTTCTGGAGAAAAATCATGGAATGAAAACTCCCAAACCTCAAACTCCCAGCAAAAAGATTGGAAGAAGTTACTAACAGGAACAAATCAATCAAAGGTCAACTTTATTTTTGTTGGAGGTCTAGGTTAATAATATAAAATCTAAGACTTACCTGTTCTAATATGTTTTGAAGTCTCTCTATTTCACAGTCTATCACAAATTTCTTCTCTTGTCTTCTATCAAGTTCTTCTAGAAGTTGCCTATAGCTGACATCATTAAAATTTTCCACACATATAGCGCTGACATGCCAACCATTTTGTCCTGCTTTTTCCATAATAGCTTGGAGTATCGAATATCCTATTGGGGGAAAAAAAGAGTTACTGAAAATATGCTTTTACTCCCCTTTAATGACTTATGCAGGCACTGAGCCTACATCAACATTTTTATGTTCCAAAATATACACTGAATGCTCAGAAACTTAAAAATCTGAGTAGCTATTTCCGCATCATTTGTTCTTGCTTTCTTTACTCAGGGCAACAAAATCTCTTAAAATATTGATTCAATGAAGTAGCAATACCATACTTTGTGTAAGCTCTCAAAATCTCTCTTTATTTACTGGAGAATATTGTGTTGCTCTTTCTAGACACATTTTTGATGAAATAAACCAAAGACCAAATCCAATACCACCTGTAGTCAATAACAATTTCATAAACACTTTTTGTTATTTTACTCACTAGACAGAACTCATTTGGCACAACTGTTTTGACTCTCCTCTTGAGCAAAGTAGTAACTACATTTTTGGTTCAACTACAGAAGCAAAGATGTAAAGGTAACAGTATAATAGTACTTATTGTGGGCCCATTATTGTCGGTGCCTCATGTGGTGATGTGGACAGATGTATATTGAGTGGCATTATTTAACTCTTCCTCTCTTAGCAGGGGAATGGTATAGATTGGGGGTGAGATGAATGATTACTAAGTGACACACTGGTCTCTCATAATTTGGTAGAGGAGAAAGACATTCAAATAAACAAATGCAACTTAGTTTTACAAAGGGTAATAATGATAGCAGTACTCAAGGTAAAGTATTGGCCCCAAAGAGGACTTGTTAAATCTACCTGAATGGAACAAGGAAAAATATCCTAGAAGAGAAACAACTTGAATTGAGTTGTGCAGGTTGAGAAAGAGTGTGCAAGATTGCTGGAGGGGGGAGTGTTTATTAGAAGACAGTCTGTTTATTAGGTGAGAGAATAGGAGGGATGGTTCCCAGCCTATTCTTGATCTAAGTCTCTCTGCATCTGGAAGGAAGCCACCTGGTCCAAGCATCTGGGTTAAGGAAGGAGCTATGTGATAATCCCAGCACTTGGGGTATATCTTCATGCCAACACTGTCTTGAAATCTTCCTACTTTCTCCACTTCTGAGTTTTGAATTGTAATGTGAGAGAAGAAAAGAAAAAGATTCTTTGACTCTATAAGTAGCCCTTAAACTAGGATTGGTTGGGATCGGAGCCTGATAGGAAGTTATTTTTTACTTTATGGTTTAGCATAATCAAAATATGCTAGTCCTCTTTAAGAAAGTCTGACACTTACTTGAGCTCATTCTATAGCAGCTGCCTATAGTTTCTCCCTCCCTTGGTTCTGAAATTAGAGAGCTGTATGGATTAAAAGCGAAGATTTAAAATGAATACACAGCACTCGCAAGATAAGAATATATTTATTCTGTTTTCTGATTGGTATATGAGTCTTACAGATTCAGGAATTTTGATTCTTAGGTATGTTTTCTACATGTCAGAGTTTCAAACATTGCTGATGCTCATTTTATATCAACAGATGGAACTGATGATGAGATCATATTTGAAATATAAATTACCTGATACCCTGCCAAATGAAACACTGTGGCAGTCAGGATTCATTTTTATCTAAATGAAAAAAATTCCCCAAAGAGGAAGAAAGAGGGCATGTTAATTACTATATAATTATTCTGGTATATCTATTGCTCCATTAAGTCTTTCCTTTTGTAATGCACGCCAGTAATTATCTTTTCAAATCTTACCTAGATCCCCCCACCCAGGGCTCTTTCTCTTGTTTCCTATTCAACGCATATGTAACATGATGATACGAAACCTTTCTTAATATATGTGTTCATGCCTCATTTATTTTGTTACTGGGGCTTGCTCTCTAATGGTAACTGAGGCAATGTTCTTTTATTCATTTTTTGACACCTCTGAACATGTTCTTTGACTCAATATGAATGCTTTTAAAAATACCAAATGACATCTTACTTTTCCTTTTTCTCCTTGGATTTATCATCATGCCAAAATAATTCTAAGATATTTTTTATTTGATCAAGCGTTGTAAAAATTATAACTATCAGCCACACACATTGAAGCAGTCTTCCTGCTCTCTGGGATTAATTCACAGCTTGGCACAGTTCTCTAAATATTGCTGCTTTTTTTTTTTTTTTGGCACCGTGTGGCTGTCAGGCCTCATGTCAGTACTAGGCATCCATGTTGTTATTCTCCTACTGACATGACTTTTACAGAATGTAGAGCCACACACACTTTCTGGTGAAATTTATATATGTTCCCACTTAAGTTGCAAAATCGAAAAGATTTATACCAATGAAACAAAATCATAATTCAAATCCAACATTTCATTATCTGATTTTTTTTGGATTTACAAATGACACTAGAATTGAAATAAGGCAGAACCCTAGGACACAATCTTTGTTGAATGGCAAAGAAAGTTGGTCATCTAAAAAGCCCCATTAATCATAGTCAGAAATAAATGCCATCTTTTTAATGCAGTGCAAAGGACATGCAGTTATAGTTTCAGAGCCTGGCTGAAAACTTATATTCTTTTATAAGCTGTGTTTGATTTTAATACACTCTCTTATTATTCATTGCTACTTAGATATGTATGTTTTATTTATTTGCCAGGATAGCTGGCAATATATTGTAACTGGGAGAAAATATTGCTCTTGAAGCTATGATTATGTAACCTAGTTGTTATATAAACTATTATAGAAAATCACAAGCCAAGTCATACTATTTCTACCTCTGGCTATGATTTGTATCTCCTAGTTATTAGAAAATCTGTAATACAATATTGCTGGCCAAAATGTAAATACTGCAGTTTTGGGTGAATATCACAGAAAATTCACTATGGTAAAGAATATTTTAAATCTTGTTTCTACTCTAAAAAGCTGTCTAACATTTTAATTCAGTATAATTTCCTGAAAACCTAGTATGATCAAGATTCTATAAGGTGTATCAAGATAAACAAAGATGTGATTCTTGTCTTTATAAGGAATTTACTATCTGATAAAGATTCTTGTTTTTATAAGCAAAACTGTTAGGTAAATTATCCATTATGAAAAATACACAGCATTATATAAATAACTTCAAAGAAATCAAAATAATTTTTTAGAATACTAGGGAGAGCATACAGTGAACATATCATTTTATTGCATCACAGTAAGTAATTAAAAGCTTTTTCATAGTTATTAAAGGGCACTACCAATTATTCAAAAAATATTTGTCAGTAAATAACATAATGGCATTATCAATTATTTTAAATGGAATCAGAGAAAACCAAGCAGTCCTGAGCTACTGCATCCTTACACAACGCTCTTTTACATCATCCATGGATAATGACCTATTTTGGATGAGTATCACCTCAGAGATGTCACTGCTGACAGCACAAGCTGGGCTTATTTATTTGATATTCTCTTTTGCAATAGTTATTTAACTGTGCACAGAGCAGCAGAAAGAGAAGCAGCAGAAGAAATTTATGGCAGGGAGAAAATAATTTTAAAAATAAAGAAGTTATCCATATGCCATCAAGAAGACTCTACTTGGATAAGGACTAAAAAATGCCCACTGTGCTTTTCAATGAGATGGCCACTGATGTACTCATCATGAGCCGGTTCCATGTCAATAGAATGCTGGATATAGAAGTCATACATTGCAGAGGAGTGAGAAATTGAGGGGAAAACGTGAAGAGATGAGAATGTAGACTTGATCAAGGAATATTATCAGGGCTAACGAAGTGATGAGATGAACGCTATGCCGTTTTGATGTATATGGGATAGAAAAACATCTAAGCTATGTGAACTGGTTTGGGAAGGAGGGGACTGGGTCTGTCCCAGGGGGAATTGTTGAGACAGAAAAGAGGAGGTGACGAGGAGAGATTAGCGGCCACTTGTACTTACTCAAATTGAAGCCTTCCTCATTAATCTTACAAATTGCTATAAAGATACCTGCTACTTTACCACCAATTTCTCTGTTCTGGCACAACCGTCAGTGTCCCAAACTAGTAGATTTGAGGACAAAGGTGTGTGTGTCTGGAAGTCTACCTCATGCTGTGTATTGACTTGAGTCATAGAGAGAAATAAGATTCTGTAATCCTCACTGCATTCAATGCCACCATGCTGAAACTGGAGAGCAGATTTAGCAACCATTTAGTTTGGACTCTTTCCAAAACAGCTTAGTCCTGAAATAAAATGTTCAAAGGCCACAGTCTGAACCCCAAGGTCCGAGCACACAGAAAGGGTAACCAACATTTTCGCTTGGTTAAAATTATCTGCAGCTGTGACTATACCATTTATTTATGCCATAGTTCAAGAAGGGCATAGTGAAAATAAGCAAAGATTTTTCCCACTTACACAGCTTGAAGCTATGCATGTAAACCTGAGATAAGATGGAATGTTCTGAGTTTTCCCTTTTGTACAAATACTCAAGAGGAAAAGTAGAAAATCCATCTTCAAAGATGGATTGAAAAATGGCCATTTTTCAAGGTAGTCATTCTGGGTCCTAGATTTTCCCTAAGGCCTCTTATATTTTCTGACAATAATATTAAATATTTATGGTCTCCCCCAGTGTTCATACTTAGTACAGATGACACCTTACAAGGGAATTTGATGCTTTAAGTCTTTAAAGGTAAAGCACTGTAGTAATGCGTACAAGTTGTTCACTGCTGTCAGTTCTCCCCTTCATCTAAAACAACGGAATTTTAACCTGGACATATGGACAGTCAGAATAAATCATTTTCTTGCCTCTCCCTCTGTAACTTGGGGTCAACTCTGTAAGTTGGGGCCAATAGATTATAATTGGAAAGGTTGTATGGAAGCTTCAAGAAACTTTCCTCAAAGGACTGCATGAGCATACTTTTTTCTTGCCTACTTGACCTTTCATCTTGATGCCAAAATGTGAATGTCACCCCTTGTTCATGAAGTTAAGGCTGTGAATGACAGAATGACCAGACAGAAAGAAGCTGAGTCTCAGGCTTAATGAAATGGCATACTGCTCCCTGATCACCTACCCAGCCTTTGAAATGAGAGAAATACATTCGTTATCT